ACATGTGCAGGTTTGTTACATAGGTAAATGTGTATCATGGGGGTTTGTCATGCAGATTATTTCATCACCCAGGTATTATTATTTTTCCTGATCCTCTCCCTCCACCCTCCTTCAGCATTTGATATGCCCCAGTGTGCATTGTTCTCCTCTGTGTGTTCATATAGTCTCATCATTTAGCTTCCACTTATAAGTGAGAACATGTGATACCTGGTTTTCTGTTCCTGTGTTAGTTTGCTAAGGATAATGGCCTCTAGCTTCATCCATGATCATGAGGACATGATCGCATTCTTTTTTATGGCTTTATAGTATTCCATGGTTTGTATGTACCACATTTTATTTATCCAGTCTATCATTGATGAGCATTTAGCTTGATTCCATGTATTTGCTGTTGTGAATAGTGCTGCAATGAATATATACATACATGTGTCTTTATAATGGAATGATTTATATTCCTTTGGGTATATACCCCATAATGGAATTGCTGGATCAAAGGGTATTTCTGTCTTTAGGACTTTGAGGAATTGTCACACTGTATTCCACAGTAGTTGAACTAACTTGTACTCCCACCAGCAGTGTACAGGTGTTCCTTTTTCTCCATAACCTCACCAGCATTTGTTACTTTTCTGACTTTTTAATAATAGTCAGTCTGACTAGTGTGAGATGGCATCTTATTGTGGTATTGATTCACAGTTCTCTAATGATCAGTGATGTTGAGCTTTCTTCATATGATTGTTGGCCACATGTATGTCTTTTAAGAAGTGTCTGTTCATGTCTTTTGCCCATTGTTTAATTAGGTTGTTTGTCTTTTTCTTGTAAATTTGTTTAAGTTCCTTATAGATGCTGGATATTAGAACTTCGTCAGATGTGTAGTCTTCCATTCTGTAGGCTGTCTGTTCACTCTGTTGATAGTTTCTTTTGCTATGCAGAAGTTCTTTAGTTTAATTAGATCCCATTTGTCAACTTTTGCTTTTGTTGTGATTGCTTTTGACATCTTTGTCATGAAATCTTTGCTTGTGCCTATGTTCTGAATAGTATTACCTAGGTTGTCTCCCAGAGTTTTTATAATTTTTGGTTTTATATTTAAGTCCTTAATCTATTTTGAGTTAAGTTTTGTATATGGTGTAGGGAATGGGTCCAGTTTCCATTTTAGGCATATGGCTAGCCAATTATCCCAGTCCTATTTATTGAACAGAGAATCCTTTCCCCATTGCTTGTTTTTGTCAGGTTTGTTGAAGATCAGATAACTGTAGGTATGTGGTCTTATTTCTGGGTTCTCCTTTCTGTTCCATTGGTCTTATGTGTCTGTTCTTGTACCAGTACCATGCTGTTTTGGTTACTATAGCCCTGTAGTATAGTGTGAAGTTGAGTAGCATACCTCCAGCTTTGTTCTTTTTGCTTAGGATTCAGGCTAACTATTAGGCTCTTTTTTGGTTCCATATAAATTTTAAAATAGTTTTTTCTAGCTCTGTGAAGAATGTCAATGGTAGTTTAATAGGAATAACATTGAATCTGTGAATTGCTTTAGGCTGTATGGCCATTTTAATGGCATGATTCTTCCTATCCATGAGCATAGAATGTTTTTTTGTTTGTTAGTGTCGTCTCTTATTTGAGCAGTGTTTTGTAGTTCTCCTTGTAGAGACCTTTCACCTCCATGGTTAGCTGTATTCCTAGGTATTTTATTGCTTTTGTGACAACTGTGAATGAGAGTTCATTCATGATTTGGCTCTCAGATTTACTGTTGTTGGTGTGTAGGATGCTAATGATATTTTCACATTGGTTTTATACCCTGAGACTGAAGTTGCTTATCAGCTGAAGAAGCTTTTGGGCTGAGGTGATAGGGTTTTGAAATATAGGATCACATCATTGCAATCAGCGATAGTTTGATTTCCTCCCTTTCTATTTAAATGCCCTTCATTTCTTTCTCTTTCTTGATTGCCTTGGCCAGAACTTCCAATATTATATTGAATAGGAGTGGTGAGAGAGGGCATCTTGTCTTGTGCCGGCTGTCGAGGGGAATGCTTCCACCTTTTGCCAGTTCAGTATGATGTTGGTTGTGGGTTTGTCATAGATGGTTCTTGTTATTTTGAGGTATGTTCCTTCAATGCCTAGTTTATTGAGAGTTTTTAACGTGAAGGGATGTTGAATTTTATTGATGGCCTTTTCTGCATCTATTGAGATAATCATGTGGTTTTTCTCTTTAGTTCTGTTTATGTGATCCATCACATTTATTGATTTGTATATGTTGAACTAACCTTGCATCCCAGTGATGTAGCCTGCTTGATCATGGCAGATAAGCTTTTTGATGTTCTGCTGGATTCAGTTTGCCAGTATTTCATTGAGAATTTTTGCATCAGTGTTCACCAAGGATATTGTCCTGCAGTTTTTTTTTTGTGGTTGTATCTCTACCAGGTTTTGGTATCAGGATGATGCTGGCCTCATAGAACAAGTTAGAGAGGAGTCCCTCCTTTTCAATTTTTTGAAATTGTTTCAGTAGAAATGATACCAGTTGTTCTTTGTACAAATGGTAGAATTCAGCTGTGAATCTGTCTGAGCCTAGGTGTTTTTTGGTTGGTAGGCTATTTATTACTGCCTCAATTTCTGAAATCGTTATTGGTTTGTTCAGGGATTCAATTTCTTCTTCCTGGTTCAGTCTTGGGAGGGTGTATATATCTAGGAAGTTACCTGTTTCTTCTAGATTTTCTAGTTTATGTGCATCGAGATGTTTATAATATTCTCTGATGGTTGTTTGCATTTCTGCGGGGTCAATGTAATATTCCCCTTATTATTTCTGATTGTTTATTTGAAACTTCTCTCCTTTCTTATTTATTAGTCTAGGTAGAAGTCTATTTTATTAATTTTTTTCTTAAAAAACAGCTCTGGATTTGTTGATGTTTTGAATGGTTTTTGTGTCTCTATTTCCTTCAGATCACCTCTGATTTTGGTTATTTCTTGTCTTCTGCTATCTTTGAGATTTGTTTGCTCTTTATTCTTTAGTTCTTTTAGTTCTGAAGTTAGGTTGTTAACTTGAGATTTAATTTTTTGATGTGGTCATTTAGTGCAACACAGTTTCCTCTTTACAGTGCCTTAGCTGTGTCCTAGAGATTTAGGTACATTATCTCTTTTTTCTCATTAGTTTTAAAGAACATATTGAATTTTGCCTTAATTTCATTATTTACCCAGGAGTAATTCAAGATCAGGTTGTTCAATTTCCATGTAGTTGTGTGGCTTTCAATGAATTTCGTAGTCTTGAATTCTAATTTAATTGTGCTGTGGTCCGAGAGACTGTTTGTTAATTTTGCATTTGCTGAGGAGTGCTTTGCTTCCAATTATGTGATCAATTTTAGAGTAAATGCCATGTAGCGATGAGAAGAATGTACATTGTTGTTTTGGGGTGGAGAGATCTGTACATTTCTGTCAGTTCCTTTTGATCTAGTGCTGAGTTCAGATCCTGAATATCTTTGTTAATTTTCTGTCTCTATGATCTGTTAATGTTGTCAGTGGAGTCCTAAAGTTTCCCACTATTATTGTATGGGCGTCTTAGTCTCTTTGAAGGTCTCTAAGAACTTGCTTTGTGAATCTAGGTGCTCTTGTGTTGGGTACATATATATTTAGGATTTGGTTTTTCTTGTTGAATTGAACCCTCTACCATTATGTAATGCCCTTCTTTTCTTTTTTTAATCTTTATTAGTTGAAAGTCTGCTTTGTCAGAAACTGCATTGCAACCCCTGCTTTGCTCTGTTTTCCACTTGCTTGGTAGATTCTCCTCCATCCCTTTATTTTGAGTCTATGACACGCCTAGGTTATATGGTTTAGCCTATTGCTACAGCCATTGTTGCATATGTGGTCCATTGTTGATTGTTACACAACACATGTCAGTACATGAACATGATATATCTATTTTATTTTAGTTTTTTATTTCTCTCATCAGTATTTTGTAATTTTCAGCACATCCCATCTTAGACATATTTTGTTAGATTTGTACTTAAAGAATTTTATAGTATTAGTACTGTTTTAAATGGCATTTTAATAAAATAGGAATTTTTAATTGTGCATTGTTAATATATAGAAATACAATAGATTTGCCCTTGTATTTGTCAGCCTTGACACACTCACTTATTCTAGTACCTTTTTTGGAGATTCTTTGGTATTTCCTCTTTAGATGATCATATATCTTGAGTAGAGACAGTTTCATTTCTGCTTTTCCAATCTTTATGCCTTTTATTATATTTTCTTGCTTTATTGCACCAGCTATGGCCTCCTGTATGATGTGGAATAGGAGTGGTGAAAGTGGATACCTTTGCCTTTTCCCTAGGGGGAAAGTTTTTTACCATTAATTTTGATATTAGCTGTAGGATTTTTATAGATACATTTTATCAACTAGAGGTGGTTACCTTTCATTTCCGGTTTGCTGAGTTTTTGTAATGAATTGATGTTGAATTTTATGAAATTATTTTACTGTGAGTATTAAGATGATTATTTGGTTTTTATTCTATAGTCTGTTGATGTGGTGTATTATACTGATTGATGTTAAATGTTCAACAAGCTTTGCATTACTGGCATAAGCTTCACTTAGTCGTAATTTGTTATCTTTTTATATATTGCTGGGTTTGTTTTGCTAATATTTTGTGGAAGATTTTTGCATCTGTATTCATGAGCTTGAATTGCTTTTAAGTTAATACCAGAAGGATTTTAACTTATAGTAAAGGAGAACTATATAATTTACAATAACCCTTTTGTTGAGGGCAACTAGAAAAACTCAAAAAATGGAAAAGGGTTATTTAAAAATAAAAAAATTTAGACCCACAAACCATACAGAGAAAAGGGTTCTTAGAAACATCATAGAGCTATCAGACTGACTGGTCAAATCTCCACATTTAGAGGCAAGGGAACATATGGAAGATATTGTCCATTTTATAGTTATAATTGTTATTTTAAAAATAAGATAATATTTTTTTGGATCTGGCATGAATGGTTTATTTTTTGCTTTTGTTTCTCTAAAGGTAGACATAAACACATTAACCCAGAACCTGCAGACTCTTGAAGAAGAGAATAAGCAACTGACAGATCGAATGGCTTCCCTAGAACTTCAGCAAGTCACTTCTGATTACCATGGGGTGGGTATAAAAAGGTCAGTCCAAATACCAATTAGTGACTAATGAGTTCAGAAACAGCAACAACCAGAAGTCAGAAGATGGGTTTTCTTTGTGTTTTCATAATTATTATAAATCTTGAATAATTCAGAACAAATATAGCAGAGATTTTTACAGTAGCCAAACAATAGTTAATTTGAGAAACCGTGAATTCAAGGCATTTATTAAACATTTGCCTTCACAAACCATCTATGTTACTGAAAAATACAGATATATACAACAATTTAAAATAGTTCCTCTTCCATAAATTATGAGGAAAAACTTGTATTTTTTTCCTGATCAGACAATTCCTTCCATTAGGCAATCAGTAATAAGTCTGATTTCTGAAAGCTATTTGACAAGGTCAGTGCATTACAAATAAATGATACAGTTCTTAAAACATCTTCTCCAAGTAAAGGGGATTTAAAGATATGGTCATTCTGTTAAGTAGCTAATAATTTTCTTGCATGCTTTTGAATACATGAAAAAGTATTACTAAATGCTTTTAAGCATGCAAATAATCTTCGAAAATTCTTAGAAGACCCTGAGCTAAAGTCTTTCAAGCCGTCATAAGCTACTCATTACTTCAACTATGAAAAATTATACAGACTAAGTCTAAATCTTCTTATATTGTCATGGGTTTCAAGCCAGATTTCCTACTTTTCAGTTTTGGCCATGACCTTGGGTATGATCCTTAACCTCTCTGAGCCTCAGTTTCTTAATCTGTCAAAATGAGGACAATAATGCTATTACTGTGAGGATGTTTGAGCTTAAGTAAATTCATACATACAGTACATGTAGCAGATAGCTAATGTTTATTGAATTCTTAGTATCTGAACTGTCTCAGAGAAAAATAAGTGACTATTGGAATGACAGGATCCATTAGCTGTAAACCCTGGTACTATTTTAGAACAACCCCCTCTCTCTACAGAATTAAAGATTTAGCCATGTCCTTTGCTTGTTGGCTAGCCTAAGCTGGGTTCCTTTGGAAGACCACATTCTCAGTCTATTTCCTGAATCCATTGCCAGTGAGCAGGCCTAGCCTTACTTTATTAGTGACTTTGACAGATCTTGCCAGTGATTTAGTCAGTGTTGATTTTTGCCTGCCTACCTGTCTTGATTACGGGTTCCCAGTGATAACTCATAGACAACACAATTCTAGCTTGCAGTTCTGTCTCCCCTCAGAGGTATCTCTGACCACGCCTGCCTGGAAATGCTTCAATTGGCTATATGAGTTTGAGGAATGAACTAGAGATTTCAGGATTTGTTTTTGAATCTTAGCAATATCATTAAACCTATTGTCATTCAATGCTGGCAGTTTATTTTTGGTCTTTGACCGTTAAAACTTGAAATTCTTTATAAAGGGTACCTTCTGGTATAACCCCTCATTGATTTTTGGAAATACACATGTGTGTGTTTTCTGTGTAATGCCACAAACTTGAATTCAGATAGACTTGGTTTCAACCTCCATTTACTGTGTGACCTGGGAAGGCTCTTAACCTCTCATGGCCTGCAATGCCAAGAGGATCTCTCCTAGTGTAGGTATCCCACAGTATACTCTGCACACCCATATATCAGAATAATTACTACATTGATTAGAAGTGGACTTATTTATGCATCTGTGTTCACTCTCTTCTAATACAAAACCAGCAGTTACTCATTTTTATCTTCCCTTGCCTAGCAGAATGCCTAATACATAATAGGTGCATTAAAAACATTGACTGACTAGAATACAAAGAGGGTCATGTCTGTTTTGCCAGGCAGTAAGGATTAATGTCATATTGCAATAATATTCTCTCTGCTTTTTCTTTTACATTTCCTAATTTTAGGTTTATTTTTTGCCATTTTAGCCTGTAGTGATAGTGCAGTTAATTCTGTTACTACTGACAGTCAGTCAGGGAACCACAGTGAGAAAAGATCCACATGTAGGAAGGTTTCCATGCCTGAGTTCAATTTGAATGATTATCCTCCCCACTTTTCTTTTGGGGTTTAAACATATATTTTAAAATTGTAGCACCAGAAAGAAATATAATTTCCTGTATAACTGGGACTTTAATGACTTGAAATTAAATAATGAACTGAAATGTATTATTTCTTAAAACCAGGATGACATTGTCATTGTGCACTCATGCAGATGTCAAAGTTGATTTGATTTGCTGGGGCTCATGCCATACTGGTTGTTAAATATTTTGAATAAAAAATTCAAAATAATTAAAAACTTAAAAAAATGTTTATAGTCTGCTTATAAAATAGGTTTACCAAGATGCCAGTATCCCACTGGTTTTGTGTATTCTTATAACAGCTTCAGCTAACTTGTACAGCTCACCTGGGTTTACAAAATGATTTTAGAAATAATTTTGTGGTTTACTTTTGATCTTTGGCAACCTACCTTTCATATCTTAAGATAATTCTCCCTATTTTTACTTCCTGTTTTTCCAAAGAGCGTTATCTGTGTGTTTCTGAGTTAAAATGGATATTCTAATGCTTGGCATTTTTCTCTGTATGATGTTTCTTTTTTTTTTTTTCACATTTATTTATTTTATTGCATTTTAGGTTTTGGGGTACATGTGAAGAACATGCAAAATTGTTGCATAGGAACACACGTGGCAGTGTGATTTGCTGCCTTCCTCCCCATCACCTACATCTGGCATTTCTCCCCTTGCTATCTCTCCCCAGCTTCCCACCCCCGACTGTCCCTCCCCTATTTCCCCCCAACTGACCCCAGTGTGTAGTGCTCCCCTCCCTGTGTCCATGTGTTCTCATTGTTCAACACCCGCCTATGAGTGAGAACATGCGGCGTTTGATCTTCTGCTCTTCTGTCAGTTTGCTGAGAATGATGGTTTCCAGGTTCATCCATGTCCCTACAAAGGACCCTAACTCATCGTTTTTGATGGCTGCATAATATTCCATGGTGTATATGTGCCACATTTTCCCTATCCAGTCTATCGTCGATGGGCATTTGGGTTGGTTCCAGGTCTTTGCTATTGTAAACAGTGCTGCAATGAACATTCGTGTGCACGTGTCCTTATAGTAGAACGATTTGTAATCCTTTGGATATATACCCAGTAATGGGATTGCTGGGTCAAATGGAATTTCTCTTTCTAGGTCCTTGAGGAATCGCCACACTGTCTTCCACAATGGTTGAACTAATTTACACTTCCACCAACAGTGTAAAAGTGTTCCTATTTCTCCACATCCTCTCCAGCATCTGTTGTCTCCAGATTTTTTAATGATCGCCATTCTAACTGGCGTGAGATGGTATCTCAATGTAGTTTTGATTTGCATTTCTCTGATGACCAGTGATGATGAGCATTTTTTCATATGTTTGTTGGCCTCACGTATGTCTTCTTTTATAAAGTGTCTGTTCATATCCTTTTCCCACTTTTGAATGGGCTTGTTAGTTTTTTTCTTGTAAATCTGTTTTAGTTCTTTGTAAATTCTGGATATCAGCCCTTTGTCAGATGGGTAAACTGCAAAAATTTTTTCCCAATCTGTTGGTTGCCGATTCACTCTAATGATTGTTTCTTTTGCTGTGCAGAAGCTGTGGAGTTTGATTAGGTCCCATTTGTCTATTTTGGCTTTTGTTGTCAATGCTTTTGGTGTTTTGGCCATGAAGTCCTTGCCTACACCTACGTCCTGAATGGTTTTGCCTAGATTTTCTTCTAGGGTTTTTATGGTGTTAGGTCTTCTGTTTAAGTCTTTAATCCACCTGGAGTTAATTTTAGTGTAAGGTGTCAGGAAGGGGTCCAGTTTCTGCTTTCTGCACATGGCTAGCCAGTTTTCCCAACACCATTTATTAAACAGGGAATCCTTTCCCCATTGCTTTTGTCAGGCTTGTCAAAGATCAGATGGTTGTAGATATGTTGTGTTGCCTCCAAGGCCTCTGTTCTGTTCCATTGGTTTACATCTCTGTTTTGGTACCAGTACCATGCTATTTTCATTACTGTAGCCTTGTAGTATAGTTTGAAGTCCGGTAGTGTGATGCCTCCCGCTTTCTTCTTTTTGCTTAGAATTGACTTGGCTATGCGGGCTCTCTTTTGGTTCCATATGAAGTTTAAGGTGTTTTTTTCCAGTTCTGTGAAGAAGGTTATTGGTAGCTTGATGCGGATAGTGTTGAATCTGTAAATTACTTTGGGCAGTATGGTCATTTTTACGATATTGATTCTTCCTAACTATGAGAATGGAAGGTTTCTCCATCTGTTTGTGTCCTCTCTTATTTCATTGAGCAGCGATTTGTAGTTCTCCTTGAAGAGGTCCTTTACGTTCCTTGTTAGTTGTATTCCTATGTATCTTATTTTCTTTGTAGCAATTGTGAATGGCAGTTCATTCTTGATTTGGCTGTCTTTAAGTCTGTAATTGGTATATAGGAATGCATGTGATTTTTGCACATTGATTTTGTATCCTGAGACTTTGCTGAAGTTGCTTATCAGTTTCAGGAGATTTTGGGCTGCGACAATGGGGTCTTCTAGATATACAATCATGTCGTCTGCAAATAGAGACAATTTGACTTCCTCCTTTCCTATTTGAATGCCCTTTATTTCTTTTTCTTGCCTGATTGCTCTGGCTAGAACTTCTAATACTATATTGAATAGCAGTGGTGAGAGAGAGCATCCTTGTCTGGTGCCACATTTCAAGGGGAATGCTTCCAGTTTTTGCCCATTCAGTATAATATTGGCTTTTGGTTTGTCATAAATAGCTTTTATTATTTTGAGATACGTTCCATCGATACCTAGCTTATTGAGGGTTTTTAGCATAAAGGGCTGTTGAATTTTGTCAAAGGCCTTCTCTGCATCAATTGAGATAATCATGTGGTATTTGTCTTTGGTTCTGTTTATGTGGTGAATTATGTTTATAGACTTGCGTATGTTGAACCAGCCTTGCATCCCCGGGATGAAGCCTACTTGATCATGGTGGATAAGCTTTTTGATGTGCTGTTGCAATCGGCTTGTCAGTATTTTATTGAAGATTTTTGCATCTATGTTCAT